TGGACACATCCACCTTCTTTGCTTTTACACACTTCTCCAGTTAGGGAGCCAGGCAGTAACACCTGGAGGAGAGGATCTAAAATGGTGTGTTCAGGTTCACCTGGTCTACACAGTAAGGCTCTATAATGGCTTAAGAGCTGGAGCTGGAGGAGAAAAACATGGGCAATGTTGTAGCCAAGCACAAAGCCCCTAAGTTAATACTGCTTATTGGAAATGGAACTGGGAACCCAACAGAAGAGCAGCAAAACAGCTTCTTTATGGACAATATTAAATTCCTCTGACTGACTTGGCAGTTTGGAAGCAGCAGGATTGTTTTCTCTAGCTTAAGGAAACCCAGCAACAGACCCCACTGAAGTTCAAGCAGCTAGATCAGGCCCAATACTACTAAACTTTCCAGGCTTATCAGGGAAATTTTTCTCTGCAACTTTTTCCATACTTCATTTTGGGTGTAGAGGGAAAAATCAGTGTGGAATAAGAGTTAGAATCATATGAGCCCACTCATTTTCAGAGAATTAATCATAGGAGCCTGCTCATTTGCACAGCTCACTTAGTGCAAATAGCCACTGTAATTCTCAGTTAGAAGCATTTCTCTGGTGCAGCTCATTCAGAAAGCAGCAGTTTGTTTACTCACTGGCTTGGGCTACCTGGATCACGTTACACCTGCTGGGGCTGTTGGTAATGTGGGAGGTTGATTTTAAACTGGTACTGTTGCTTTTATAAAGCCTTTAATGTTGTAGGCTGTGGCTATGTTCAAGATCTCACCCATCAAGCCAAGGCTTAAGGGACTTTGGGCTGTGACATCCCAGTCCTCTATTCCCCTGTCACTCAAGTCAACAACCACAACTTTGCTGTGGTAGGTGTGGGTCAAATATTTCAGTCCCTGACCTGTGCCTGGTCTGACTAAGGATCCAAGGTCTCTGATTTGCCCACACCACAGAAACAATGCAGCAAGTACCCGCTTTTCTGAGTACCAAGTACAAGTATCTGACCTGCTGCCTCAGTGCTGTCCTCACCTGTGTTGGAAAGCCAGAGGGTTGGCCACAGTGAGCTCTTGGTATCCAGAGGTGGCTGCAGGACACTGCAGGTGCAGGGGTGCATGGTGTGTGTGCAGGCACAACAATGCTGCAGTGCATTCATGTTTCTGCCTTTACAGCTCTGAGGAGCTGATAACCACAGCCCTCTGTCCCTGCAGAGAGCAGACAGTTCCCTGCAGCCACCTCTCTCCAAGGGGAAGGAGAAGATGACTCAGGAATCCCATCCACCCATTCCTCCCCCCAGCCATGGCAGCATCTGGAGCCGCCCACGCATGGGAGGTGAACCCACAGAAACGTTTTTGTGGGTGGGTGTCCCCAGGGGGATGTGCTTGGCTGCTGTGCAGCTTTAAGAGCGCAAGTCCAAATCCGTTTGTCTGGGTGCAAGTCACAGTAAACAATCAGTAGAACTTGTCAGAAGAAAAGTTAAAATAGATGTAACTGATGTGTGAAGGCGTGTTTTACCCAGCTCTGCTGGATGTGTGAGTAGAGGCAGGTAGTACATTAACTATGCAGCTCAGAGACTATTAAGGCTTGCAGAGGAACAATTAGTCCAGAATTTGCATTTTATGAAATTGAACCTTTTATAAAACTTACAGCACAGCTAATGACAGAGATTTCTTCAAATAAGTATTTCCTTCTAATCTTTGTCATGTGGGGTTTGTAGCATCTTGCCAGGATATGAGAACCTAAAAATGTAAAAGGCAATTTTTCAGTAAAAATTAAACCCACTGGTTTATCTTTACCATCTGTGTGAAGTGTAAACAGAGATAATAAATAAATAAATACTGAAAAATACATTTGTTTTAAATAAATGTGAACAAAGGGTTTGACACATTTTGCAGTATGTAATGCTGCTTTTAAAACGTGATTTCAACCATCTGACACATTCAATTAAATACAGAGAACTCTCCAGGTTGTATTTGCATTCTGGAAGAGCAGCTACAAAAGAAAGTGTAAGTGCAGCAAATCATTCTGAAAATAAGCTGATTCAAACAGAGAATGAGTTCTCCCTGAAAGGCTGCAGCACCACTGACTTTGTAGTATTACCTGAAAAAGCTGCAAGTATCTTATTTTTCCCTATAAAACAGATCCACTTTGGGATGGTCAGACTGACAGTTTGATCTACATTCCAGGAAACCATGAGAGGAAAAAAAAAATCACTTCTAGGAGCACAAATTTTCAGTAAGCACAAATTTTCTTTTTTCTCCAATATTTGGGGAAATTCCTAATGTAGTTCATAGTCTTTAATTAAAAAAAAAACAAAACCAAAACAAAACAAAACAAAAAACCTGCAGCAATAAATGATGGAAGAAAACCAAATCCCTTTTCCAAGCAGTGACACTGCCACTTTAATAGTTTCCCACTGTACTTGGGGTTAGTTGCCAGAGAAGCCTTGTTCAGCCTATTTGGGGGCCCCATGAAATGCTGCAAGCGTTACTGAAATGAGCACTTGTCTTTTGTTGAGCTGCATGCTAGCACCATACAGTGCTGAGCTGATAAATCCACTTTTTCTAACACAAGCATTTTTCAAACAAAACTACCATGAGACTGATGAGTAATGCCAGCTTGCCAAAAAAAAAAAAAAAAAAAAAAAAAAAAAAACCCCCCCAAAAAAAAAAAAAAAAAAAAAAAAAAGACACACACCCCTCCCAGGCACTGCTGACACTGACAGCTGTTAAATTCACATATTCACAAAATGAGATGGGTTACATAACTGGAAATTACAAGAGCGACTCACCAGCAAGAGGAACTGCAAAGCAAGGCATGGCTGGGGCTCAGGAAGGAATAGATCCCACATTTCCATGTTCACTGTCCCACTGAAGGCCAGGGTAAAGCTGTGCCTTGAACACACAAAGGTCACTGGGCACTCCTCACCCTGCATCATCAGGCTGCTTGTGGTTTGTTCAGCACTGGGATTTTTTTTCAGCAAAGTGAAGATGTGGGACTCAGATTCAGTCAAAGAAAGAAACTGAGAGCTTATAGCCAGGCAGACGCCTGGGAAAGAGCTGGAGAAGAATGTAAATAATTCTTTATCTCTCTTGTTTTTCACATTGTTTATAGTTAAGTTCTGTCACTGTGCATCAAGCACTCTGCACCAATGCTGTGGGTTGTTTTTACTTCAGAACCAATGGATTTGGTCCTTGTGGAGCTCTGTATAAAAGAGCAGTGTATTTTGAATAAATTGGAGTTTTACTCTCAACAGCCTTCTGATCTGGACTTCTGATCATATCTCTTCATTCCCGTCCTGCCTCAACAGCAACATGAAGATGCATGTGGAAAAAGGATATATTAGTTCTGCTATGTATGTTATAACACAAGGGTAGCTTAAAATCCCAAATGTCACATTTTGCAAAGCACGATGCAAAAACAGTGACTCTAAAAGGCTTATTGGCAAATCTTGAGCAGCTGAGAGGGCAGTGGCGGTGGTGAAGTGTTGGGTAGAGTTAGGTTTGACAAAACCTAGGTAGCTTTTAATTTGCATCAAATTTTTCACATATATAAGCACTTTGCAAAGATGTTGTTTCTATCATTCTCATTGCATGGCAATAGAGCTGAGCTCTGGATAAGATTTGGAATCTTGGCTGGCAGGACAGGACAGGACAGGAAGGCCGTGACACACCCCAACACCACATCACCTGCCTTTATTTCAGTATCTGTTTCTAAATAGGTTTGAAAACTTTGACAAAAGCATCTGGTTCTGGAAGGGCCATGGAGCAGATGAAGGAGGAAAGGCACCATTAGGGGCTCCTGAGGAATGACAGGCTGTGGAGCTGGTGGAACAGCTCAGGAGAAGGAGCAGTGAGGGAAGATGTCAATGTCTGCACTAACTACCAGGCCCTCATGTGTTGCTGAGGTTGCCAGGAAAGAGGGGCTAATCTGGACATAAATCAAAGCAGAAAACAATGGATGTCTTTATGAATAGCCATAATAAAAAAAAAAATCCAGTAATTAAACCACCATTAACATCAAGCTAAATTTTATACATTCAAAATTATTTATGCTTCAATTTTTTCTCCTCATGGCTGAATTCATTCTTCTTACATAGTAAGAGGGGTTTTGTTGTTATAAAAAAATGCACCTAAAAGCTTTTTGTTATAAGCAAGTTTATCAAACAAGAAATGAAGATTAAATGACAACTAAATGCATAAAAGTTCCATATACTTTATCATGTTATCTATAATAAACTAGGCTAATGCAAAATCAAGATGCACAGACAAATCAGGAGGAAAAAAAAAGGAACACAGAAATGAATGCTTTGAGAGTGATGCCACCTAAGCTGGTGTGTAGGTACAGTCTGCTGCGTAGGAGAGCAGTGAAAGCATAAACAGAATACTAGATGTGCATTAAGCCACAAACAGAAATAGCTGGGAACAATGGCAAAGTCTGGTTGCTCTTGGAACATTAATGTAAGGAAACATCCTTATAAAAGATGAGACAATAGCAGGTCTATAAATGACAGCCCCATAGGCAGGGAAGGATTAAGAACTTCCTATAGTTCCTGAAGTATCAACCTATATTGTAACCCTTCCACAAAGGCTGCCATAAGTGCTTTCTCTGAATTAGTCCACCCAGAATAGGAAAAAGCATCAGAATTATTTGACTTTTCCTCTGGACACCAGCCACACACTCTCAAGGCAGAGAGGAAGAAGTAAAAGCAGACGGAAGCTCAGCTCTTGTTTAGGACCTTTTGCCAGCACACCTGTAAGTCCCAGTGCTCATTTACCCTCCCTGTAAGTCCCAGTGCTCATTTGCCCTCCCTGTAAACCCCAGGGCTCATTTGCCCTCCCTGTAAACCCCAGGGCTCATTTGCCCTCCCTGCTTCCTCCAGAACCCAGAGACCTCTGGCAGCCCTGATCCAGGCCATGGCAACGTGCTGCTCTCTGAAGCTGAGCTTCTCTGTCTCTGCAGAGCACTGGCAATGCAGGCTTTGGACACAAGCAAACACAAACTAGGCTGAGGCTTCAGTGCCCATTTGTCATTTTTATTTTCTTTGTTTTATATTGAAGTGGGTTTTTTTGTTGTTTTGTTTGTTTGCATGAGTAATAAAAACCATTTATTTAACTGAGCATATGTTTAATTTGAAAACATTAACAAAATACCTCCCAACACCTTATGGCCCATGACCTAGGACATATTCCTGTACAGCAAGAATTCCCTGAGCTTTCAGGTAGCAGATTACCCTCAGACCTCAGATTTTCTTGAAAACTGCCACATACTCTACTAATAAAAATTTAAATTGAAGACTATGGGCATTATTATTTAATACAATTCCACAGATCAGCCACAGTGAACTTTCAAAGGCCACAGGGGTTATCAGTGGTCCATAGGACAGGGGCTGGGAACCACAAGAGGCTTTGGTGATTCTGCTGGTTTGTCTCTAAGGCAGCACAAAGCCCATTCACTTTGGTGAAACTCAAAGACACTGCACTCCAGGGAGTTTTCCAAAAAGTCAAATGAAGCTGTGTAAGCATGATGGGGAAGAAGAATTGTCCACTGCAGCTGCTGCTAACATAGCACCTCCAAATGCTTGGGTGTGGATGAACTGAACAATGTGAAGAGGTACAAAACATGCAAGACCAGGACCTGTTCCGAGTGACATTTGTAGATTTGCAGTTGATTATAAATTCAATAGGATCTATAGAAGTCAATGCTAAAGAATTTTCAGCAAGTTAAAGTTCTTGAGATCTCCTTCTGGTTGCCTCTGCCACCTATTCCTCATTCCAAGCTGGAGGCTTTAGGGAAAATTTGGGGCAATTCTGGTCCAAAAGCTCCAGTGGAATAGTTCTATCTGTTTTCTGAAATGATCCCCTGTTTATCAGTAGAACTTGGTCCTTGAGTGATGGCAATACAAAGCAGACGTAAGTATATATTTTTTTAAATGCTAAAAATGACACAGATGCTTTTGAAAATATTAAAGATTCACCATCCAACTATTTACAGTCCTATTTTTAATTTTTGTTTTCTGAAAAACAAGGAAATATTCTGATTCTCACCAAGGGCTGTAAGTTTCATCTTACCAAACTCAATCACAGAAGTCCTGAATCAACATGCTTCCTAACGAGAATAAATTCTTTTCAGCAGAGGTCTGTTAAAAATGACCACCAAAACCCAACTATTATTAGTATTCAGGGTAGAGTTAAATAGTGTCACCATGGATACCTGAATGTCCAGGTGCAGGCCTTAAATAATTTCATGGCAAAATTCAGCCACATTTCTTAGTCCTGGTCTTCAAACCTGCTCTCACCAGAACAGATTATGATGATCCTATAAGAGGCAGGACCTTGGCCAAAAGACCATGGGTTTTTGGGTGCTTTCTGCAGAGTAAGGTGCTACTGCAAGTAAAAGTTAGACATTCTTGCTGTTGCAACCTGTGGGACCTCTCAGCAGTACAATGATGTTCAGCAGAGCTCAGATGCTCTTCCTGAACTGTATTTTATGGCCCCATCTCTGTGCAGCTCCTCCAGCCTTGGGGGAACTGCTCAACTGGGAAGGGGCTGGGAAGAAAAATGTCAGAGACATGCCCTGCCAAGCACGAGAAGTGTCTGGGCAAGGTTCTCACTGTACAAGTTTTCTAAGACTGGGAACAAATATTAAAGCTATTTTCTTCCTTCTGAGCAGTTTTAAAGTCACTTAAAGTCTGATAGTACTTTCCACCTCAGGAACTGGACTTTGCTCCTCAGTGTAGTTCCACTTACTCATCCAACAACTACCAATTACTCATGTGAGCAATGCACGAGGTTTTGTAGCTGTGGGAATAAAACACAAGAGCAAATCCACTTGTTCAGAAGGGCAAGTTTCTAGATTCAATAACAAAATCAGAACTCTGCAACAGCCCCTCCCTCCCCTATATGATTTGTTGCCTAAAATCTTAAGGGAAAAAATATCATGTTCTCTATGAATATGATCTTAGCAAGATCAATTTGTTTTCTATAAAAATGTGTAATAAGTTTTGTAGCTTTTCTATCTGTACTGCAAACCAGTAAATGAAAACTCTGTGAAACTCTCACACTTTAATTTCACACTATTCTTAATGTTGCCTAATTTCCCAGTTTAAAAATAAGATTACAAGGATTAAGAGACTTTTGAACCTAAAAAGAATGCACATATTAGGGAAATTACTACCTAAAATAAATAGCCTACTTTAATAACCAGTTTCCTAGCTTTATGATATTAAGGAGAAAAACACTTCACAGACATCTAGCTTAACACATGTCAGCCAGCTTCGTTTACAAGTTCAAAATCCAGAGGTAGATAAAATATTAATTTGGTTTGGAATACGCAAAGTGCCAATTTTTCGTATATTAATGCACTGAAGCACTTGACGAAATGTTATTATAAAAGGAAAAAATAGTTGCCAGAAGGGTTTATTTAAGGAATGGTTACTGCAAATAAAAACTTTCAACTGAAAAGGATTTTTAAAATTGTTTTTTAATATGCTTTTAATGACCTCTACTCCTCATACCTACCTCCTTGCTTCCCAAACTGTTTGTACTGTCCCCAATAACACTCAGTGGAAAGCTGTCGTTCCTGGCTAAATCCTTACTTAGGTTGGATGCTATGCCTCCGTTAGACAGGGTCACAAGGTCACAATCGATTTTGGAGGCCACCTGGAGAGTCCAGGCCGTGAACTGACTCAAAAAATTTATATCAGAGCTGGAATGGTCCACCTCCCAGGGCTCAGCCTGCGTTAACACCCCAACCGCAGGATGGAGCCTGCCAGGCCCAGCTCAGAGAGAGGCCAGAGTTGTTGACCCCGTTAGCTGACCTCTTCAAACTTCAGGAGAATTTTTCTGGCAGTTACCACGGTGACTGGGCACTCCAAGCTTATCCTTCTTACTNAAAAAAAAAAAAAAAAAAAAAAAAAAAAAAAAAAAAAAAAAAAAAAAAAAAAAAAAAAAAAAAAAAAAAAAAAAAAAAAAAAAAAAAAAAAAAAAGTTAAAACCTACCTTGTAGGGATGTCTATCAAGAATCAAACACGTAAAAGTTTTAATTGTTTGCTTCTCTCTTAGGCTGCTCTGGCTCTAACTGGTGCATCCAATGTGAACATCAAGAAAACAGTTTGGCTAAAAACATTTCAACTTGAAGAAATAATGCTCAGTGGATTTAACAAGAAGCATTTCTAATATCTGCTGGTGATCACAAGTGACACACTAAGAGGTTTATTGTGAAATAATGTTTATTTTTCTTTCTGTATCTTTCTCCAAATTGCTACCATTTTTCATTGAATTGAGAAAAAGCTGAGACAAGGTTCAGGGAAAGAATTCCATGCTGCCTTCTGGGATTTTTCCTTCTAAAAACTATCTGCTTGCTGAAACATTAAGTATGCAACAATTCATTGCTTTGGTCTCTCAGAAGAGACTGCATAACCTATTTAATGTAGCATGAAATATTATTTAAGAGAAAAAAGCAAAAAAAAAAACCCAAAAGTTGTCAGACATCATTAGTGCTGGTTTTTTCAGGCACTTTGAGCACTAATCACTTCACACATAAAATTTAGCAGGTAAGCAAGGTCTCATGATGCTGACAGAAAACACTTGAAACACATCAAGGGATCACAGAGCGTGCTAAGTAAACAAGAAAACAAAGTGCACTCTTTATTTCTGGAAAAAAGAAGGGGAAAACTGGTGCTTCTTAATTTCAGGGCAATCACATATTACATACAAAGCTTTTATGTAAATTTTCCTCATGCTCCTCTACTTGAAATAGCATCTTGCAAAAGGGAGCACTGAAGAGTACACTGCATTATAGCTGGAAAAATCCTACTTAAGGGCTCCTGATGGCAAACTGTCAATCAGTATTCCCCGCTTGTTATGAACTGCTCATTTCTTGAGTACAGCTAAACAGAGGTTTAATGATTCAAACTTTAATGGCATTTTGTCTCACACATGGTTCTGAAGTATCTTCTGTTGTTTGAAGAGTTAAATATGGATATTCAAGCTGCTGCTCAGCCACTGCTCTGCTCCTCCTGGGCTTCTCCCCTGGCAGTGCTGGGATGGCAGAGGGGACCGAGCTGCTGAGTCGCCTCTCGTGGGAGGAGATCACACAGACCCTATGGATACAGAAATAAAGCAGGCAGTTTGGGTGTGCAAAGCAAAAAGCACAGGACTGATCTTTTGTTCCAGACTTACTTTTCATTTCTGCTGGAAGGATGAGAAAAAGGCAATCCAGTGTACGTGCGTTAGCTAACATTAAAAAAAAGTGAATGCAGTACAGGACTCTTTTTCCTTTCAAAACTGGTTCAATTTCTTTGAAATATCATATGCCTCAATGCTAAATAGATACATAGACACTTAATAATATTATTTAGCAATAGTGAATTAAACATTAAAACAATTTAAATTAAAAACATTTTAAGATTGTTTCCCTGTTATTAAGGATGTGTTAGAAAAAGGTTAACCCTCTCATTAGGAGATCGATTTTTTCGTTTGTGTTTTTGTTATGGCTACACATGATGTTTTTATACTTTCTTTTTTTTTCTCAGCATGAAATAATGTAAATTGAAGCAATCAGGTGACTGATCAATAGGCTAGTGGGAAGAAAAAAATGTTTGTTAAATTCTATTTCTTTTCTTTCTTTTTGAACAACACTGTATATATAAGCATGTGCCTTTCAATGAGATACCATGATTTATGAAGTCATGCTCAGGGCTAGCCAGGTTGTTGACTCAGATTAGACCTATGATGCCAGCTCATTCCCTGGTGACAAACACTGACTGTCCTTCCCACAGCCAGGCACCCCTGGCAGCCTTATGAAAAGAGCTTGTGGTTGGCACAGCACTGAGCAGGAAATGAGGTCCTCTCCGGTTTGGGACAGAGATGACTGGAGCTACAGAAAGCTGTAAAGCAAAATCAGCATCTCCTGAGTCACAGACTCTAAGCTCTGGTGGGCCCCGCAGTTCCCAGGGTGACCTGGCCACCAGCGCTGCCTCTCCCGCACCCCTGCCAGCCCTGCTGCCAGGGGAGCAGCCTGCCCACTCTGGGGTGCCATGGCATGGGACTGGTTTCATGTGGGAGGGGGGAACAGGGGGCACACCGCCCCCCAAAATGCCCATGTGCCCCAGCCTGGTGCTCAGCACCCACCTCAGGGAATCCCTTTCTGCTGTATCCCTACCAAAGAAATTTTTGGCACACTGTGTGGTGTTTTTCAATATCACAAGGCTTTTATGTCAGCCTATAGCTTGGGGATCTCTGTGTGGCCTACCCTCCTCCAGGAATTTCACATATAAATCACTGGAAAGCAGGAAATCCTTCAGTCCTGTAGGAAGCTGTTTACCATGTTTGCTTCAGCACAGACAGCTGCAGACCACAGAGCATCTTGCCTTGTAGGTACCACTGCAACCTGGACTTGAAATAGAGGAACTTAGCCCCCTTCTTCTGAGATCTCTGAGCCAGAAAGTGAGCTCCTGGAACGGGGTTAGAAACTCCTGCTATATTCATGGAGTAGAACTCCCTGGTCTTCTCTGTGTAACACTTTCACTCTGAATTCCCTCAATGCCATTGAAACAATAATATTTAGACCATTTGGGGCTGAGATTATTGCTTTAATAAATTGGGTTTTTATTGGTTCATTGTGGCAAATAAGCCCCCGATTGATTTTGCTCCTAATCAGCATGGAGAATGCATTCCGCTGTAATTAAATCCCGTGTAACTGGGCACTCTGTGTTCGCTTGTCTCTTAGCTTGCAGTGGCATGAGCTACAGCACATCAAACGCTATCCCCGCCACGATAGGCACCCTGCCAGCCCGCGGAACGATGATGCTCGCCTTCAGCGTGCTCACAGCGTGGATGGCTGGAGCGCGTTTGGAGCAGCGGGCAGCGCTTGTGAGGCGTAGGAAACTTATGAGAGGAGGAAGATGGCCAGGGATAAGGTCTTTTCTCTCGAGGAAGGTTTGACCCCCCTCTCTGAAAACACTGCGAGAGAGGCGGTGGCTGCCGACCCGCCCGATTTCCACAGGTCCCCGCAGCCCCGGCCGGCTCCGCTGCCGCTGCCGGGGGCTCCGGCCGGGGCAGCCGGGTCCCCTCGGGAGCGCGGCCGGGCTGCCAGGCGGGCAGTTTTGAAGAGTCGATCTTCATAATACAAATCCCCCGGCTTCGCCTCCCCGCCAGCGGCGCGAGCCAGCTTTTTAATTGAATCCCGGGGATTTGGCCGCAGCCGAGAGCCCCGGTTCGGGCCCCAGCGCCGTGGGTTCCCCCTCCCGAGAGCGGGACCGTCTCTTGAGGGCTGATCCCTCGCCTCTAAACCGAGGGAAGGGGGGGCTGCGGCGGCCTGGGGGAGCCCCCCGGCCCGGGCCCCCGGGAGGCAGAGCGGGGCTGGCTGCACCCCGGGGCCGGGGGCAGCTGGCGGGGCTGCGGCTGCTCCTGGCTGCTCCCGCCTCCCGCCCGGGCAGCGCTTTAGGGGGGGCTCAGGCCGGATCCTGCCCATTCTATACGTTAATGCTCTTTTCTCTCCGGCTGCAGGGAAGCAGGCCAGCGGATAATTACCCCTCACTGCAATCCGCAGAGCTGGCCTAATCCGAAAGCTCAAGTGCCCGTAAGTAAAACTTCAGGAAAAGTTATTGAAACTGACAAATACAGGGTGACAAATAATCAATAAAAGCCCAGTCCCACATCCTTTATTGTTTCCAGGCACTAACAGCAAGTAATGAAACCTCGGCGAGGACGGGGGAGGGAGCGGCAGAGACCGGGCGCTGGGCTGGCTCCTGGAAAGCCCCCACTAAAAGAAGCCCAGGGAAGAACCCGGCAGAATAAGGGGGACGATCCCGTCCCCATGGGAGAGAGGAAAATGCCACCCTCCTAAGTGCCCGCTGTTCCGCAAGCTCTCCGTGCTGCCCGGGGCCGGGGCGCTCCGGATGGGCGAGCCCGGGAGGCTCCTGCCCGGCCGGGAGCTTCTGCCCGACCCCGCGGGCAGGGACGCTCCGGAGCCCGGTGCCATCCGGCAGCCTCGGGCCACGCACCTATTTAATGCACAAAAAAATCAGACCCTGTAATCTACGTTCTGAAATCTTATAACATCCCTGAACACCCAACGCGATCCTTCTCATTAGCATCTCGGCCATGGATTTTCCACGCCACAGTTTCTAAAGTTTCAGCGAAGGACGCCGGGCAAGATAAATCCGTGCTGTCGTTTCTCTCCCTTTCTGTCTCTCCAAATTAAGTTTTGATCTATCAGTTTAAACACTGGCCAGAAAGTTGATTCACTTTCTGTTAGGATTTCGGGTTAAACCGAGGGCTCCTCCAGTGTCTTTAAGCTTTTGAGCTGTGTAAATGAACTGCAGTGTCACATAATCGATGGGGAAAACTCAGCTGTCACAGATACGAAAGCAGCCTCCTGCCACAGCAATAACGTGATTTGGCATTTCAAAGTTTGGAAACGTGCTGTCTGCGCGTCCGGGGCTCGGGGAGGAAGAGGGATGGGGGCGATGCGCCGGGGCGGAGGGGGGGACAGTCCCCAGCCTCGGTGGCCCCCGGCCCCGGCAGCCCCAAGTGCCGGCGCCCCGCACCGCGGCACCCGCTGCCGCTCCCTCCCTTCCCGACACACGCTGCGAAAGTTGTTTCCCAACTTCGGCGTTAGGGGAGGGTTGACCCAGAACAAATCTCAGTGTCTCGGTGGCCTTTCCAAAGCGGCCGTGCTCCCCCCGCCCCGAGCCTGCGGGACGTGCCCATCTGGAGCACGCACCGTGAGAGCAACTGTGCCGCGGACAGCCACAGCGGCCATCAGTCACTAAAAGCCACACGCTTCAGTGGACCGGGGATAAAACGAAGTCCTGGTGACGCCTGGTTAAACCACTGACCCTCTTGCGAGGGCTGGAGAAGGGGGGAAGGCGGCCTCCTCCCGGCAAACGCAGCTTTGGGGGCTCGGCGCGGGGCTCTGCAGGGCCCCGCTCCCGGAGCTGGCGGCGCTGCCCAAAAGGGGACCCAGCGCAGCCTTTTCGGGGTGCCCCACGCGGGGACGAGGCATGGATGGGGAGGGCCCCGGGCAGAGCCCCCGGCGCGGCCATGCCCCTGGGCGGTAGCGGCGGCTCCCGTGGGCACGGGGTTCCCACCGAAATGGTTCTTTTCATATCGGCTTGGGTGGAAACACCAACCCGTGGGTAGGGTGTGCACTAAGCCGCGGGGTAAACACTGCCCTGGGCCCGCTGTCCCTACCGCAGACCCCGATTTACCCGCACACATGCGCAGGAAAACAACTCACACAGCGTGTTCAGATGCTTTCTGGAAGGGGACGGCTTTAGTTTCAAATTAGGAAACTCTCTCAGATGAACGATAAACTCCGCTTTGGTCAGGCTATGGTGTTTGATCATATCTTTGTGGTTTTGTCCTCACCAAAAAGAGCCCCGGAGGCTCAGTTAAGAAACAAGATTTCAGCTAGTTTGATTTGACATGAGGAAACTTTGCATTTGTAATATTATAAGACTCTGAAGGGGGAAAATGAAACCTCTGTAGCTGAGACAAGAAGTGTGCCTAAGTGCCACTATGTTTCAATCCCCATTCGGATATAATTTAAGTCTTCTTCTCTGGCTTACAGTAATATGCTCTCCAATGTTGAGGCTATCCAAAAGGGGGGGATTTAATGAGGCCGAGTTGATACACTTATATAATTTAGGGGTTTCGCTATAGCTGTAAAATGACAATTGGTACATGTGTAGTGCAAAAGAGCTGAAATCCCATCCAGAGACCAAGTTGGTTATTTCTGAAGGAGCTGTCATTTCCAGCAGGGGGGCACAATGAGAAGGCCAGGAGCAATGGAGCTCTGATCTCCACCAAGGAGAGATAACCACCTGATTAAAATGGGGCTCTTGTTCCCTCGTTACTCGATCGTCGTGTGAACTTACCTTATTTACAATTACAGGCAATGAGTGAGTCGCCCAGATTGTAATACGCCTATAGCTTTGAGTTTACTCCTCCCTTTGTTATCAAGACCATCTCTCGGACAGATTTCTGGACCACTCATAGCATGTGAGCACAGAAACGCTCTTGAGGAGGGAGGGATGTGTACGTTCCGAGCCCTGCAGTGCGAGCGCAGCGCGTTCACCCTCCCGCACGCCCCCGC